ACTGGCATTCTGTATTTCATCTGACATCATTACTGAGTTTCAGTCTGGGGTTTACCCTGTATGTAGCCTTTTTGCCTGTGTGTAGGGTCCGTGTGAACCAACAAAACAGTAGTTCTGGAATGGACTTGGAAATCTATTTGTAATGCATGATTAAGGCATTCATCAATGGCCTTAACAATCGCCCTCCACTAACCTCCCCCTACCCCTTTGAGAGCCCTTTCCTCTAGCCTGCACCCCACCCCACTCAGCGCCTTTCACTGTGAGCCACATGGATGCTCACACCAATCCTCAGCCCTGTTCAAAGTGCTCGCTTCCTCTTCCTCCATCGCCTCTTGAGACTCTCCTACCCCATTCCTGGAGAATCCTCTGCACTTTCCCTGAGACCAGCCTCCCAAGGGTAGGGACAGAACCCTCACAGAGTCCAAGATTGGGGACCTCGTTCCCTGGGCATTAGAAAAGATCCAGAAAGACTTTTAAATAAGTCCAACTTCATGCCAGGTTTCTGGAAGAGTGATGCACTTTGTCCTACCTGCCAAAAGGTGGAAACGCCTTCAAACTTTATCTGGGTGGATTATGAGGAAGAAAAATCCACCTTGAAGAAACCACCACAAGTATTCACTGTATTTCTTCAGAAAGAAGGAAGCACTTGGGGGTTTTAACTTCAAAACAGAGCTCTCCTCCCAGCTCAGTGACACACAATCTTCAGCAGATGGTCAGCAGGTGGGCTCCCCTCTGGGTGAGGAAGGACAGGGACGATGGCCAAGCATTTTGGCCATAAAGTATTATATCATCATCATCATCATTATTAATAGATTTCAGCTATATCGTGCTTTATAGGGCAACTATATTCTTTTCTTTAGTTCCCAATAATTCTATGAGCTAAAGAGCATGATCTCATTTTACAAATGGAAACAGAACCGATAGGATATAGACATATATCCATATGTGGATATGTAGACAAATGAGAGTTAAGTAAAAAAAAAAAATAGTGCTGCTAGGGTCCCACTGCATACATGCATGGGTTTATCCCAAACAAAACTGTCTAAACATGTCTCTGGGATCAGTGGATGGCTGCAGACAAGTTCTCTCAGGAATACACCTGTCTTAGTCTCGTTAGGGTGCCTTCAAAAAAAGGTCCGATCAAAACAGGTTTCCAAGGTGATGTGCTGGACCAGCTAAATTCAAGGCAGTGCAGAACGTTAGGGTGACTGTTTTTGAGGAGTCCCAAGGGGTAATCTTGACAGATTTCCTCAAGGAACACAGGAAGATCAGTGGCTAATTAAGACGAAATTTTAAAGAAAATTGCAGGCTGTATTAGTGACAGAAAGGCCAGGAAAGTTGCACCACAGGAAGGTCCCCCCACCCCCCATCATAATGCACCTGCTCATTTTTCTAGGGTAACAAGGGCTTTCCTAGGAGACTCTCATTGGGAAACCTTACCCCACCCACCCTTCACCCCTGATCTTGTCCCTTCAGATTTCTTTTTGTTCTCCAAACTCAAAGAACATTTCATAGGAACACGATTTGAGTCCTTCAGGGATGCCCAAACTGCCATTTTCACATGATGTAAAATCAAAGAAGACAGAATTCTTTGGGGAAGGGTAACCGGGTTGGAAACACCCTCTTCAGAAGTGTATAAACCTCTAGCTACTGAGAACGAGTCAATCACAGCTCATGACAACTCTATAGGCCAGAGGACAGCTGTTGTGTAGGTCTCCAAGGTTGTAAATCTTTCTGGAAACAGACTGCCACATTTATCTCCAGTGGAGTGGCTCATGGGTTTGAACCGCTGAGTGGCCCAACACTTAACCCACTGTGCCACCAGGGCTTTCTCGCTGGACAGTATGTCAAGAAACAATAGCTTCACATTTTGATATATTTTCCTTCAATAGAGGTTTCTGTGATTTTTCAGGAATACTTTTTGACTTACCCTCATGTATAGATGGACTCCTGGTGTGGTGCTGTAGGATAAACACTTGCCTGCAAACCAAAAGGTTGGCAGTTCAAACCCACCAGCTCGGAAACCCTGCAGAGGATTCCTATGAGTTGGAATTTACTCGATGGCATTTCACAACAACAACATATATAGGTAGAGTGATATTCATTCAATGGTAGCAGCTGGCAAGTGCAAAATGTGTAGGATGAGATGGAAACTCAAACAGGGTTCCTATTTTATAGTCTTCTTGAGGCTGAATTCTTTTTTTTTTTTTCCTGTGATACCCCCATTTTTGCTTTTAGGGTCTTTTGCTACTTGGATGAGACCCACCCACGTTACCAAGGGCAATCTCCCCTACTTAGAATCTACTGGATGGGGATGTTAGTCCTTCAACAAATAACATCACAGTAACAGCTACACTTGTGTCTGACCCAACAACTAGACACCATAGCCTGGCCAAGTTGACATTTAAAATTAGCCATCACAGGGAGACTGAGGTCTAGAGTGACGAGGTACAAAAGGGAGGTGGTACAAACCCACCAGTCATTCCTTGGGAGAAAGCTGTAAAGATTACAGTCTCAGAAACCCTAAAGAGCAGTTAGTTCTGCTCTGTCCTATTGGGTGGCCATATATCAGAATGGACTCAATGGTTGGGTTTGTGTTCCTGAGGGGAGTAGGTCAAATACACATCCAACTCTGAGATTCCATGTCTCCTCCCCATTTCCAAACCTGCGCATCTCTGCTGTGAATGCTTAGGATCATCTGTCCTTTGAACATTTTGTTGTGGCTTGAGTGAGGGTTTCCAGAGCAAATTCACTTCCAGCAATGTATACATATTTTGTTTCATGACATCACTTGTAATTCCTTCACTGTAACAGCACTCTTCCCTTTTCCTCCCTGGATTCCCCGTTACCATTCATCCTTCTTTCCTGCCTTCTGTACTTTCTTTTTTAGTCAAATGCTGCCCTTTTGGTCTTGTATGGCCCATTGTTCTGAAGAAGTATGTCCTGTGGGTGTTGCTGTTCACTGTATAGGTCTGCCCATTGTTTGGCTGAAAGGGGATCCCCGAGAATGGGCACAGTTACTGGTTTGAAGAATGTCTAAGGCCTCATTTTTGGGGGTTCCACCAGTCTCTCTCAGACCAATAAGTCTGGTCTGTTCAAGGTCTTCTTGTCAAGGATTTCCTGAAAGGTGGGCTGTGGGACACCAGTTTCACCATAGGCTCTTGGTAAAAGGGTACTTGCCTGTGATTCAACAAGTTAGAGAAATACTTACCAAAAACACTCAAATGTCCTAAGGAGAAAAGTATCCATTTAACTTTGACAAATATTTTATAAAACTTCCATATCAGTGGAAACGTTGTATCAAATAGCGACTATTAACAGTCAATGAAACCAGTGTGGCTTTGAGAAAAGAATCTAATTCAACCCTTTCATCTTATAGCTTAAAAAAAAAAAAAAAGGAAAGTTCATTGTTATTCATTATTTATTAATTAGTTGAGCATTTATCAAAAGCAGGTTAAGGCTCTACTAAATGCCAGAGACTGTGTTAGATTCTGAGATTATATACAGAAATAGATTATTATGTAGTAATATAATTATATAGTAATATAATAACACATTACTATATAGCATTAGGAGCTCTGGTAGCGTAGTGGTTACGAATCGGGCTGCGAACCTTAAGGTCAGCGGTTCGAAACTACCAGCTGCTCCGCGGGAGAAAGATGAGGCTTTCTACTCCCTTAAAGATTTACACCCTCGGAAACCCTGTACAGGGTCGCTATGGGTCGGACCCGACTCAACGGCACTTAACAACAACAACAACATATAGCATTATGGAGTCCTGGTGTGGCACTGTAGGATAAGCACTGGACTTAAAGGTCAGTTTGAACCACAAGGTTGGCAGTTCAAACTCACCAGCCGTTCCTCAGAAACCCTACACAGGGTTGATACAAATTGGAACCGACTTGATGGCACTTAACAATAACAACAACATATAACATTGTGAGCCCATTTGTGGTGCTGTAGGATAAGCACTAGACTGTTAACTACAAGGTTGGAAGTTCAAACCCACCAGCCGCTCTCGAAAACATGGTGGCTATGAGTCGGAACCAACTTGAAGGCACTTAAACAACAACAACATCTAATGTTATACATAAGACATGTATAATATTATTTATTACCATTATATTACCATACAGCGATAACAGCTAATTTTCATGCAGTATACTGACCACATAACTAGGTTCTCTACTAAGATTTGGGACCTCCTTTGGTCCTTAAAACAAGTCTAGAGATAACGGGTTTTCTTATACAAGTTAAGGATGAGACCGAAGCACACAGAGATGCTGTGAGTTGCCACAGTAATAATGCAAACCCAAGGCTACCTCTCCCTCTCTCTCTCTTTAAAAATGATTTCTTTTCTTTTTGTTGTTATTGAGAATCTTCACAGCAGAACATTCATCAATTCAATAATTTCTATATGCGCAATTCAGTGACATTGATTACATTCTTGGAGTTGAGCAATCATTCTTACCCTCCTTTTCCAAGTTGTTCCTCCGCCATTAACACAAACTTGCTGTTCTATAAGTTTCTTCTCCCATTTTTAAGTTGCTGTTGTCAATTTGATCCCACATAGGTAGATTTAAAGGAGCACAAGGTTCAATGCAAGCATTCTTTACTAGTTAAGCTAAACTATTGTCTGGTTTTAAGAAGACCTAAGGGGATATCTTTGGCTTAAGGTTTAAAGAACATCTCAATGCAGTAATTTCAGAGGATCATCCAGTTTCCACAGATCCAGAAAGTCTGGATTCCATTAGAATTTGAAATTCTGTTCTGTCTTTTCCCTGTTTTGATCAGGATTTCCCCAAAACAGCAAATGAGATGCATTTGCTCTTTATCATTAAACTGAGCAGCCTCTTAAATAAGATTGGGTTTCATCCTGAAGTGCAGAGCTGTGTAGAACCTGGAAGGAGTGCTACTGGATTGAGAACAGGATCTCTACCTCCTCTGTTATCAGCTCTTTCCACTCTCAGCCCTTCCTCTCCTCACTTTTGTCCCCACAGGTCTAACTGGCTGAAGCCGTGCTGTGGGAAGAGAGCAGCCGTGTGGCAGGTATTTTTGCTCAGTGCAAGTCTCAACAGTTTCCTGGTAGCCTGTGTAATATTGGTGGTGATTCTTCTGACTCTGGAACTTCTAATAGATATAAAGCTTCTCCAGTGTGAGTAGCAAGAGAGATACCTATGCAAATATCTATGATGTCGATATTCACTGTGCATCTGCATCCATCAGGGGTCCCCAACCAACAGACTGTGTGATCTATGGGGGATTGTAAAGTCTTAGCTCCAACTCAATGCCTCTGGCCCCAGGGCACATGGGAATACAACTGAGGAAGAAATGCACTGGCATTTTCTCCCTCTTGTCACCCTGACCCTCTCCACCCAATGTGGAGTCCCCCTTCCTAGCATTCCATGATCAGAAACTGATGAATTAAAAAATGTTGGGGACCCCTGTCTGTGTTTTTTATTGTTCCATTTGGAATTTTCCGGGTTGAAATTTTCTTGAGTTTCAAGAGTCCCCATTTGTGAAGGCATGTCACCTTACAGTGGGTTTGAGTTTTTGTTTTCACCTTTTGGTAACTAAGAAGGGCAGCGGCCACAGGGATGATAGTGATTCCTTGTATTTTTATCTAGCTAGAAGTTAGTGACTTTATTTAAATATACCACGATCCTTTTGAAAGTACCTTTGAGCCTCATGACAACCTATGAAATGGACAAGACTGGCTTGGTCTCATTTTATAGACAAGTACATTTAGACTCAGAGAAGTTGGGTGACTTGCTGAAAAGAGGAGGTGTTGTAGTTGGGACTTCACACCAACAGATTGTTTAATAGTTCACCCTCGTTTCTCATTTATGGGTGCCTCTCTCTCCTGGATGTCCCAAGACGATGCGGCTGTCAAAGCAGAGATCCCATTTCCTCTTTTCACCCTTGTAGACCCCTGTCTGGTGCACAAAGGGGAGAAGGTCCTAGAGTCTTGAGTATTAGCTTTGGATGAGTGAGTGGTCTCACGGTAGAGGTCCTGGTTCCCTATTTCCCTGATGCAGAAGGTAGAGGCATCCTAGTGCCAATAGTAAAAGATGCACTAACTGGCCCCAGAAAGATTTCCTTTCTTGCCAATGGCAAAATCTAGGTTTATTGATTCAACCACCCCAAAACCCACACAATTGTATTGGAGTTGTTGTTATTTTCTCAAATGTCCTCAATTCCTTTACTAGCGCCTCTGTACTAAATCCCAGGAGCCTTTTCTGCTTTCTGAGAGAGGTAACAGTGATCACAGAATTACCTTTGTCTGATTAGCCTCATTGGGTTTTATGCAGCTGGTAGCCCCTTGTTTCCAATGAAAGTATCTTCCAGCATAATGTGACCAGCACTGGTTTAACACTCAACCTGTCTTCAATTAAACCATATTGTATACTTTCCCTCCCGCTCATCCATACTGTCTACTTTTTATGAGATGTAACCATAACGGAGCTTTTCTTCCCCTGTGGTGGATTACACTCGGGGCCCTCGACTACTCAGGTTGTGACAAGGCATTGAGTAGAACTGAAAACCCAGCAGACACTGGAATTTTGCTTAAAATTAAGTATCCAAGAGATTGATTTGGGTGGGAGATCCAATAGCAGCTCATAAAAGGCATCTTAAATTCCATAAAACGTACAATCAAAGATTTATTGCTCTTCTAAAGCAAACCGTAAAAAAAGGTCCAGGAATTCATTTGAGAAATAATGGGGAGAGATTTTATGTTTTCAGAATCATCTGGAGGTCTTTGCAGAGTCACGCAGCCTTTGGCCTCCAGTTCCCACTGGTATTCATGTGGCTTGGCCAGGCAGGAGTCCACGGGCATTTCTGAGGCTCAGCTTCTAGGGGTCATCTTGGCCCAAAGCCAGCACATTCTAAAGTCTCCCACCTGGAACCTAGTGTTGCAGACTTCTTCCCCTTTCTCATATGTTCCAGGACCTGACTTTCACCTCCCTTCAGTGCTCACAGATCCCAGAGCATTGAGGGAGGCTGTGGGTTTGTCTCTTTGGAGCCAGCCCTTGCCCCTAGAGGTGCTGGGCACTTTCCTTTGGCCTCCAGGGGACTTTGAGGAGCCTGTTAAACAGGCCTAATGGGTACCCAATAAGGCATGTGTGTCCTCAGCATCATCCCTGCTCAGCCCTGCTCCCCTTGGATGCCCATGAGCATCTCTGTTAGATCCATCCTCTAGGGAACCCCTGGGGTTTGCAAATGTTTCACATGCTCAGCCAATAAAGGAAAGTTCGGAGCTTCAAGTCTGCTTAGAGGCACCTTGGAAGAAAGGTTTGGCAATCTACTTCCAAAAAACCAGCCACTGAAACCTCTATGGTGCTCACTGCTACCCTGACACACACATGGGGTTCCCATGGGTTTGAGTCGACTCTAGCAAGATCCCCTCCCACTTTCTCTCCACCAAAGCTCATCTAACTCTTGTCCTGAGCCCAGTGCCCTGATTTCTAACTCTCCAACTGATGAGCTGCACCATGCTAGGGTTTTAGAGGCAGGTCATGGGTTCCTGGACTTTACCATGGGTCAGTAAGAGACAGTGCCTTCACTCTGAGGATTGAGTGGGTATTCTTGGGGACTGCTGGCTCTCCCCACCCACACATGGACATCTGGAGGGCAAGGGAGCAGCTTGGATGTTTCCCAGAACACCAGCCTCCTTGCCCTGCCCCCATCAGGAAGCTGATAATGCCCCCCTCACACATACCCCTCATATCCTCCTCCAGTCTTTGCTCCAGCTTCTCTCCAAAACGCCCTGGCTGGTACCCGCTATCCCTGCCACTCTGAGAGGCACAAAGCAAGCTTTCCTGGAGTCCCTGGTAGTGCTCAGCATTTTGGGGGTGATCAGTGGGAGTGGGTACCTGCAAGATCATCTCAACTTGGCTGGAGCTGCCCCCCTTTCTTTGAACACACAGATGCCTTCTCAAGCCCCTCGGGTGTGGCTACTGCCGAAACCCACTAAGGCTGATGTGTTGAGTAGGACCCCAAAGAGGTGGCCTGTGGGGCAGGAGGTGGCAGCCCCCTGGGGATGGAGGAAAAGCAGAGCAGCCTGGACGGCTCACAGGCCTCCCACCACCTCATCACAATCCCCACTTAAAGCTGTCTTTGGTGGTCTCTGACCTGACTTAAGTAGATCTAGGCTCCCTGAGACCTGCCTCCCTGCTGCCAAACATCATCGACAGAGACACCTAATGCCTCGCTCCTAAACTCAGCCTTCATTCTTGTACTTGTTGCAGTTTCCAGTGCATTCCAGTTTGCTGGTGTCATTCACTGGATCAGTCTGGTCATCCTGTCTGTGTTCTTCTCAGAGGTAGGTAAAGGCTTGGGCCTGAGAGTCCTCTCTCTGGGGAAGCTTCTGTAGTGGGCAAACTGAGCTCTGCTTCCCTAAACCTATGCTGATGTCCGGTCCTGGGCCGGCTCGTGAAGCTGCAAAGAGGGAGCTGCGTACAGGGAGCTGGGCTCTGGGACAGGACCTAGCCCAGGGAGGAACCACCACAGATGCACCAAGAAGCACTGCCTACCCAAATGGAGAGGCTTGGCCAGACCAGGAGACCCCTGCAGGTGAACAAGTCAAGGGTGGGGTGACATTTGTGAAGACAAGACTGAGCATGGCATAGTTGAGGAAAAGGAAGTAAGGGGTTTGTGTGGGCTAATAGAGAGCAAGTCGGAGGTAAAAGTGAAGCCCAGGGTGAGCAGGAAGTGCAGCGAGCAGATGGGACCGTGGGCTTGTGATCCTGACTCTCCAGGCTGAGGATGCAGAGGACAAAGAGGACTAGTCACAGGCTTGGGCACTGAACTTAACCCGTGTCCCGCAGTGGTCCTGAGGTCTGGCTGGGCTGAGAGCTATGCTCCCCTGCTCCTCCTGTGTGCAGAGATGCAGATACACAGGATGTTGGAATCAGGGAACTATGGACGACCCTTCAGTCTTGCAGCAGTCAGCTGATAAAACCAACCAAAACCCACACCCAGTGCCACCGAGTGAATTCCAACCCATAGTCGCCCTTTACAAGGTTTCCAAGGCTGTAAATCTTTGTGGAAGCAGACACCCTCCTCTTTCTCTCAGGAGCAGGTGATAGGTTTGAACCACCAACAATATGGCTAGCAGCTGAGTGCCTAACTCACAGTGCCACCAGGGCTCTTTGATAAGACCAAGACCATGTGTATCTCTAGTGTGGGAGGTGAGAGAGGAGAGGCTGATGGGAGCTCAGGGCCACTGGGTGTTAGTGCAGGAGCCAAATGGCTGTGGAGACTGTGTGTGTGTGGAGACTGTATGTCTGTGTGTGTCTGTAGAGACTATATGTCTGTGTGTGTCTGTGGAGACTGTGTGTCTGTGGAGACTATATGTCTGTGTGTGTCTGTGGAGACTGTGTGTCTGTGGAGACTGTATGTCTGTGCGTGTCTGTGGAGACTGTATGTCTGTGCGTGTCTGTGGAGACTGTATGTCTGTGTGTGTCTGTGGAGACTGTGTCTGTGGAGACTGTATGTCTGTG